TGAGTAAATTGAATATTTTAAAAAAAACATTTAACATGCAAGTGTGTGTGTGTGCGCGAGTGTGTGAAAATGGGTGTGTGTGCGAGTGTGTGAAAGTGTGTGTGTCCGAGTGTGTGTGTGTGTGTGTCTGTGTTGGTGTGTGTGCGTGTGTGTGTGTGCGTGTGTGTGTGTGTGTGAGTGTGTGTGTGTGTGTGTGTGTGTGTGTGTGTGTGTGTGTGTGTGTGTGAGAGAGAGTGTGTGTGAGAGAGAGTGTGTGTGTGTGTGATTAAAAAATTAGTCTGACATTGTTTGTGATCATATAGTCAGTGAATCATTTTTCAATGATTATTAAACTTTATGAATTAATTTGCTGAAGCATGTCGATTTTCTTGTAGTTTTTAAAGTCTTAAAATGTCTTAATTTTTTACAATTTTAAGCCTATTAAGCCCATTCCAAAAAAAAACATTTACAAATTTGAGAGGATTTTGATATTTTATATTTAGAATACATTTAGGGTCCCTGTTATTTTCATGTTTAAAAGAAACTTGTTCCCCATATAAATTTTCCTATATGTAATGCAAAAACTTTGAAGCTCAATATCTCAAAACTGCTCAGAACGCAGATAGAACCTTATAATTCCAAGGGGACGAAGAGGTAAAAACGATATAAATACTGTTCGTTTTCTCACACAAACCGCTAGTTTCGTGTCTTAGGCCATCAATGTGTACTTAGATTTACGAGTCATTAAATCATGTTTAATTTGGACTTCTCTGAGCATGCTCTTTGAGGTGGTGACCATAGACCTGCATTATATCACTGACAGACAAGAACGGTTTGACCTAAAAATATCAAAATTGAAACTACTGCGGAAACAAAGACACCTACATCTTGGATGCCCTTGAGGTAAGCTAAAACATACCAGAAATGTATTTCAAAGTGAACTGTCCCTTTAAACGCTGGTTAAGCGTTTCCATAGCAGACTGGTGGGATTGGCCTTGAACAGCAACATGCCCAGTGCATTATGGGTGCTGAAGTTTTCCTACCTATTTGGCAAATGGGAAGACAACAGCATTTTTTCTTTGTTTTCTGTAATCAGGTAGCAGCAATTATTTTTTTTAAACTGTTTAAGCCTTTCTACTTCATAGGCAGACAAGTTTTATTGAAAGCCCATTTTTCCAGCAGTGAAATACCCTTTAAAATATTTGTATTCATTTTTTGTTTTTCATTTTTATTGACCTTTGTTCATTATTTAAGGAATAGTTCAGAAATTACTATTCTGTGATTTTCTTACTCATCCTTATGTCTGTTGTTTAAAACTTGTATGCTTTTATTTTTTTTCATGGACCTCAAAAGGGAAAGATTCATTCAAGTGAAAGACCAAAAATATAATTGTATGGTGCTTATTACCCTTTTGGCATAAGGATGCTGTATTAACTATGACGTGCTGATGAATGGAAAGGAACATATAAATAATAATTTTGTGTATGGGCTTTTGTCCTTTTATTCATGGGTTAGGATGAGATGATAGAATTTTCATTTGTGGGTGAACTATTCCTTAAAATGGATTATAAATCAAATTTATAATCCAATAATACTGGTGGTGATGATGAATTAATTAGCTATGGGAACAATTACTGTGAGCTACTGGTTATTTTGGTAGATTGCTGTGGTGATTGCAGAAGTGCTTCATTTTCTCTCCATGTTCTCACATTACCTCCTTGTAATCAAGTTTCTAATCATCCCAAGGATATTAAATGTCAGTTCATGAGAATCTGAATGAGGGATGAGTGAGAGAAAATATGAGAGAAAATATAAAAGGGAGATAATGTTCTACCTGGGTCTGTGTGGGTTTCATTCGGGTGCTCCGGTTTCCCCCACAATCCAAACACATTCAACATAGATTAGATGAATTGGAGATGTTAAAATGTCGTGAGTGCAAATGTGTGTGTGTGTGTGTGTGTGTGTGTGCCCTGTGATGAACTGGCCATCTGTCCATGGTGTTTCCCTGCCTGTGGCGCTGGGATAGACTCCAGCATCCCTACAGAGGATAATCAGTTTGGAGAATGGATGGATGAATATAATAAAACAAACAAACTAAAAAGGAACAGATAACAGGTAAAGATCAAACAGTGGAATAGTTCGATTGGATTGAGAAAACAATACGAGGAGAAAATAAGACAAAAGCTGAAAAAGTACTTTGCTAATATGCACAGAGGCAAAACCATGGTACAGTGGTCAGGCGCTAATACCATGGTATTTTATGATTACAATATTCATATACCATAGTATTTACAAGGTACTTGTAAAAAAAAAACTTGGTATTAACATGGCAATGTGTTCAAAAACTGAATTAGTCGTATGCCAGTTAAAAGTGTATGTGGTTTTAAAGATAAAAAGGAAGCATTTTGAAACAGCGTAGGTCGAAGGACACAGAATGAATGAACCTTTAAGCTACAGAGGAGGAAAAATAAAATGTCACAAAGTAAATAAAAGAAGAAATGCAGTGAGAGGGAGTGTCTGTGGCGGAGACTGTCAATGTCATGGGCCGATGATCTCTGGAAGCTCAAGTGTAGCAGGTCGATATGTATCGGCAGGTTTCCATGGACATTTTTACAACATAATGCGAATAAAAATACAACAGAGTAGCAGAGACTAAGTTTGTGAAGTCAGTAAAGACGCATTATGGGTGTGTTAGTGTATATCTACACTTGGATGCTGATGCGTCACGCCTTGATTTGCAACAACGATTTGAATCTGTCTGGAATTACAGTAATAATGCTGCAGCTGCATATGCAAATGGTTAGAAACTTAGAATTTTTTATAACAAATTAATAATTTGTTATATATTTAGACCAGTACATCAGAGACATGTGATATATGTCCCCAATTTTATATGCACATTTTATATGTCTTCCTAATCAAACACAACTCATCAGCTCATTAGCAAAGACTCCCAGGACCTTAATATGCGTGTTATATAAGAGAGACATCAAAACCATGCATTGTTGGGTGTACTCCAGGACCAGGATTGGGAACCACTGATATGTGGTAAGAAAAGTAATTTTTATTTCAGTCGATAGATGAGGATAATAAAGTGGTACAAATGGATGGGTAACACTTTACTTGAAGGGGTGTGCATAAGACTGACAAGACACCTTCATAACCATGACATGACACAACTGTCATTAAGTGTCATTCGCTCAATTATGACATTTTTAATGCAAATATGACATTGTTTGAGATGTCTTTGTTATGACAACTTGACATAAACCAATACATCATAACCTATCATAAATATGTCATAAACTGTGGCTGGTGTTGACATTGGCTGTCATGAGGCATTATAACTGTGTCATGAATATTTTTCTTGACCTCAACTACAGTGGTACACATTGAATTTGTCATTAAAATGTTATAATGGCCTTATGACAGCTAATGTCAAAACCAACCACCTGACAGTTTAATGTAATACTAACCCATAAAGCTAAGTGGTTTCTTAAGTTTGATAATTAATCTGCCATGTCATGTTTATGACATATTTATGACAGGTTGTGATGTCTTAGTAATGTCAAGTTGTCATGACAAAGACACTGACAGGTTATGATGTATTGGTTTATGTCAAGGTGTCATAACAAAGACATCTCAAACAATGTCATATTTGCACTAAAAATGTCATAACTGAGCGAATGACACTTAATGACAGTTGTCATAAACATGCATAAAACCTCCTTCATATTTATGACATGTGTCGAGTCATGGTTATGAAGGTGTCATGTCAGTCTTATGCACACCCCTTCAAGTAAAGTGTTACCAATGGATGTGATACGACTGCCATATTGTTTTGATGAGTTGTGACGTGCCGCTCGTATCCGATGTAGACAGTGTTACTGTAGGCTGATTACGGTTGCAAAGCAATGCATCAACTTGGAAAATAGAAGTTCTCAACACTTCACACTTTGTATTTTGTTTTGGTGTGGGAAAAGGATTCAGAACCACTCATATAGCATGTGTGGTCACAGCTGAACTTTTATCTGCTTTTTGCAAGAGCTTCAAACCTGGCTCTTTCAGTCAGAGTTTGGAATCAGAGCTATCCTTTTTCTAATAAATAATTTAACATTTTAATAATTGCAATGGGGCTCATTCGATCAATTTTATTTAGGGTTTGGGTTAGGTCAGCTTGTTTTAGTGGTTTCAAGATGGATCTTTGGCAGAGGGAATATATTATATAGCCTATAATACAGACATTAGATACTGTAGATCTTTTATCATGTTCCCTTCCAGTGTTTTAAAACCAAATCATGCTCCTGGCTATACTATATGCTGCACTTTTAGGATGTTGTAGGTAACGTTCTCATCATATATCTTGTCCTTCAACCTTACCATAGTACAATGATAATATTAAATGGGAATAAGATGGCAATCTGATAGCTGGGCATTGAATGATTACCAAATTCTTACACTATGATATTTACTTCTAAAACATTCAGTGACCAAAAGCTATGGTTTGATAATAGTACTATATGTAAAAAATAAAATAAAAATAATAATAATGTAATGCGTTGGTATTTTTGCTAGTGAGTCTGTTCTTCCATCTAACTCCTCTGTTTCTGGCACACGGTACATGGCAAAGCTACAGAACACAGTTTTACACGAGCCGTTAACATCCATGCACACCTGCTACTGAATAAACACGAAACAATATGAAGGAAACCACTGCAAATAATGAATTGATGAGTTTTTTTATGAGTTTGTGAATGAAACCTTTTAGGATAAGAATCTCTCAGAGAACCAATTTGCCATTTGTATCATAGGCAGCCCTTACAAAAAGTCTCAGATGGTTCAGCATACTGTTTAAGCCATTTTTATCTACCATGGTACTCTTTATTACTTGCCATGGTACCTTTTCGTTAGAGAGAGATTCTTGCACCAGGTTCCAACTTGCCAATACTTATAGTCAGTACTTAAATAAAGTGTAACAGATCTGAGAGCAGCAAATGATTGGAGGAGGAAGAAGAAGAAGAAAAAGAAGAAGTAGAAAAGAAACTACATGAAATGGGATGGTCCAATTCATTGGAATGTGCAAGTGTCAGTCAAGTGTGGTTCATACCACGTCGGTGTGGTAGGGGGTCAGAGGATTGTGAGCCTCCGTGGGTCTCTATTAGTCATACTGGTCCCTCGGTCATGCCCTCCAGAGGCAGACTGGTGGCATTATCAGTGGGCAGAGGTTGATCCTGGGAGGTTGGCATGTTGTGGGCGGTCGCTACAGCCAGACTAGCGTATGGCAGGTGGCAGTCTGTGTGGAGGAAGGGTGGGTAGTGCTGCCGATAACAGACGTAGGCAAAGAAGAGGCCGATCACTCCCCCAACAAATGCATCTGTGAGGGACAATTCAAGGTTCACAAAGTAAGACACAGATACAATAAATCTCATCCATCCTTACAACTAGCTTTCTAACTGTCTGCCTGTCTTCACCATAGTATGTTTTCATTCTTTTATTGTTGTAACACAGTCTCATCCCAAGACGTCAAATGACTGACGCTTTTGACCATACGTCAACATCCGACGTTTTAGGGTACCCTTTAACGTCAGTCAGATGACGATCCTAGGGCGTCATCTAACTGACGCTTTACCTTTAGCGTCAGTTAGATGACGCGGGTAGGTTTAGGTCTGGGGTAGGGTTAGGATTAGATAGCGTCATCTAACTGACGTTAAAGGGTACCCTAAAACGTCGGATGTTGACGTATGGTCAAAAGCGTCAGTCATATGACGTCTTGGGATGAGACTGTCATTCCCACGAATAATTAAAAACACAAAGACGATAGACTGTATTTTATGTGATTGTACAACAAAACAATGTTTTGCTTCTGATCTAAGATTCTGCAGAACACAATTCTGTGAACACAATTCACTAAATACGTTTCTGCCATTTAATGTCTCCCTGAGAGGAGAAGTTAAGCACCACCATTAAAAAGAGCTGCAGTGCGCACTGACACACAGCTGTATAACCTGCATATGTAAATACCACACAGCAATTTAATTCCCCAAAAGTTCAAATGAAATCAAATGACTGAAACCTAATTTTGAGGATGGACTGAACAATTGCCCCTGGAACAAACCCACACTCATTAAAGGATTATTTCACTTCAAAATCAAAAAAACGTATTTACTCACCCTCAATTTGATTCAAACCTGTATGAGTTTCTTTCTTCTGCTGAACACAAAATAAGTTATTTTGAAGAATGTCGGTAACCAAACAGTTGGGAAAAAAAATCACAAATAAATAAAAGGAGATTTGCAAACAATATATTTTTTAAAAATGTGTTTTATGTCACAAACACAACTTTATTTGTGAAACGCTTTCTGTGCATTTGTAAATCCCCTCACGCATTTGTGGATTTTGAAACATTTCTATCTAGCGTCGACGTGCAGACAAATCCACAAATAAGTGGACTCCACCCACCGTTTCCTCAAGCCAATCAGATAACGGCCACATTGCGCTGACCAATCGTAGCACGTTCTCGCTACAACCAATTCTCCCATTGATTTCCATAGTCAAGTCAAGTCACCTTTATTTATATAGCGCTTTTTACAATACAGATTGTATCAAAGCAGCAGATAACATGAAAATAATACAACAAAGTTTGTTTTCAAGAAGAGAGTTGAATATTAAATGTCCCCAACTAAGTAAAGGCAACACCTTGGCTTTTGTCCTAGTATTTTTTGTCCTACTATGGAAGTCAATGGGGTACATCAACTGTCTGATTATCGACTTTTTTCTAAATATCTTCCTTTGTGTTCAGCAAAAGAATGAAATTCATACAGGTTTAAAACAAATTGAGGGTGAGTAAATGAGGACAGAAGTTTCATTTTGAAGTGAACTATTCCTATGCTACAAGGCAAGCTTTTCTGAGTCCACAGCTTGTATTTACTTGGACCAGATTGGACCCATCAAGTTTAATGGACGGTCCATGCCACTATTGTTCAGATTAGTTCTGTTCTACTACCCAGCAGGCCCTAGGGGATAGGTCCATATAAAGTCACACTAATAATCCGCTTGCAGTTGTTTCACTGATATGAGGAGTCTATATGAGGTGACGGGGAAATAAATATAAATAAATAAAATAAAGGTAACACTTTATAATAACTTTCATTAATAAATCCTTAATGAACATGATACAATGTTTAACAGACCATTAGTTAATATACATTCACATAACTAGAAATATGTTTTTAATGTTTACTTACTAATGTATTTATTAAACAGTACACGTTGATTGATTAACAGATCACTGTTTAATGTAAATTAAAATGCTTACAAATATCATTAAACTTCAGTTCATATAATACCTAATGCACTTTTTTTTAGATTTACAAAAGTACAAATGCAAAAAGGTGTTTGGTAGCATTATCTGGATGTTCAACAGAAAATGTAATTGGTGAAAGAATGGTCTTACTTTATATTAGGTGTCTTTAACTATATACTTGCGTAAAATTGTTATGTATAATGTACTTCATGTGTTCAAAACACTCTTGCTGCTATTGACGTGTGATACGGGTATACGGTAGGACAGGTTTGGCAGTATGGGTAGGTTTAAGGGTTGGTTAAGGGGTTAACAGTGTAAAAGGGTTCAATTTGATTACTATAAGGGAACATGGTTCAAAATGTTGATATTACATAATTTATCAAAACAAAATGTAATAAAATTATTTGCAAAATGTAATAAAATCAAGAGTCTGTGATTTGTTAATTCTCTTGAACCACTATTTACCGTTTTGTGCAAGTGCAAATCAGGTTTATTGGCAAAATGTACAGTCTTTCAGTCGTTTGCAATGAACAAATCAAACTAAAGTAATTGAAATAGCTCAACACAAAAAATGTTTAAGTGGTTTCACCAAATTCAACTGAAAATGCAACTTTTAATGACTTCTGCAGTCTCAAAATTATTCAACCCCTTCTTGGCAAGCATCTTTAGTACTTAGCAGAACACCCTTTTGCTGTTATGACCTGCCAACCCGATCTCACGACCAATTCGTCCGAATTTGACGAGTGATTAAAAGATGGCTAATTCGTAATAATTCGTACGACCTCACTCGTACGAATTAGCACGATTTTTGCTAAAACGTACATATTTGACGAGTTGCCCAATTCGTATGAATTCGTACGAATGACCTACCCCTGACCCCGCCCCTAAACCTACCCATCACGTGGGTTTAGGCAAATCGTACAAATTTGTACGAATGAGGTCGTACAAATTCGTACGAATTAGCCATCTTTTAATCACTCGTCAAATTCGGACGAATTGGTCGTGAGATAGCGTTGGACCTGCTGAAATAGATATGTACAACCAAACACCAGCTTCTGGCAGGAAGAAATCTTAGCCCAATATTCTTGGGTTTGGGGCTGCTATTGCCTTCTTCAAATCCCACTAGAGATTTTCTATGGTTCAAGTCAGGTGACTGTGAGACTCTTCCAGGACTTCTTCTGCAACCAAGCCTTGGTGGAATTTGAATGCTTGGGATCATTGTCCTGTTGGAAGGTCCAATGACACCCAAGCTTCAGCTTCTTCACTGACGGCTCAACGTTTTCTCCTAGGATTTGCTGATACTTGAATGAATCCATCTTGCCTTCCACACGCTGTTGGTTTCCAGTGCCGGGTGATATAAAGCAGCAACAGAGCATCACGAGCCCCACCATGCTGAACTGTAGGCAGAGTGTCCATTTCAGCATATGCTTAATTGTTCTTGCTCCAAACGCTGATTCAAAGGGCCAAAAAGTTCAAGTTTTGTTTCATCGCTCCACAGAATAGAATCCTAAAACTTCTGTGGATTATTTATATGATTTTGAGCACTTTTCTTGTGCTTTTGGGTTAGTAATGTAGGCTACATCTTGGAGTTATGGCATGCGTGTCTTACTGTGCAGCTGAAACCTCAGTGCCTATCGCCACGAGTCTTGCTTCAGGTCTTTTGCAGTCACACTCAGAAATCTGTTTGCAGCCTTTACTTTTTCTGCCCCGTCCAGGTAGTGTAACCACTGTTCCTTTAACTTTGAACCTGCAAACTTTGCTTCCAACAGTGTCTCTAGGAACATTTTGTGCCTTCGCTATCTTTTTGTATCCTGTTCCTTGTTTGTGAAGGGCGATGATATCTTCTCTTAACTTTTTGGACCATTCTTATTTCTAACATGCAGTCAAACGTGACACTCAACAAACCTAGCCAGTTCAGGTATTTCATGTTCATTAGTTGAATCAGGTGTGCTTGAGACAACATCTGTTTTGCAGATTTGTGCTGTTGTGAGAAATATCTATTCAGGGGTTGAATAATTTTAAGACTGCATTGAGTCTTTAAAAGCTGCATTTTCAGTTGAATTTTGGGAAACCACTTGAAATATTTGTTGTGTTGAGCTATTTCAATTACTTTTGTGAAAGTCTGTACATTTAACCGATAAACCTCATTAAGCTACGACAGAGTGGTTTCTAGACACTCTAGTCTACATAGAAGGAATGAGTTTGATGGATGTCTCTTATTGAAAATGTATGGTCCACAATGAAAAGGAGAATCAAACAATGATGACCACAGACTGTTGAGCAGCTGTCTTGTATAAGAAAAGATTGGCCAACAATTCCTTTGAAAAACTTGTGTTGCATCCATCAAAACCAAAATTTGTTTATATTTACCATTTGGGGTTGTAAATGGTTGTAAAAAGATGTGTAAATAGGGTGAATTCAGGTCCTTTTTCAGGACACTTTTTGCCATTGAGATGACATGGAAAAGGTGTCTTAAAATGATTAGTAAACACTCTACAATCTACAAATTATGAATAGTTTCAACTTTAGATTGTGTACCACAAAAACATGAACAAATAATTAATAAATGGTTCATAAAAAAATACACACCACAACAAATGAACACCAAATGTATGACTTTTACAGACCATGGTTATGAGTTATTGAATAATATGTTAACATGAATAGTGTGTGAAGTGCTCAAAATGACTAATTATCTATTTTTTCACAACAAGCGTAAATTAGGTACAAAAGTGCATTAGGTAATAAATGAATCAACGTTTAATGAGATTTGTTACCATTTTATTTACATTAAATCACAATCTGTTAATCACTATGTAATATTTAATAAGTTCATTAGTTAACATTAACAAGCAAATTATCTCATATTTCTATGTGTAAATATGTGAATGTATATTACTAACAAATGATCTGTTAAAGCTGCAGTCCGTAGTTTTTCCACTTTGTCGCCATCTCTGTTCGAAATCTGCAATTGCAGTCATTCGCGGATTTATCAACTTTACGTGGGTTGTGCCTCGGCACGGCACAGCGCGGATGAACACAATGTTTTGAGGAGAGTGTGTGTCTGTCAG